ACAACATAGCTACATGGCACGCTCCTGATGCGCTCGCGGCCATTTCTCTAGCGCCACGTATACCAAATTTGATATTACATTACTGTGAATGGATGACGAAGTATGTGACTGGTGCAGACATGATAATCATGAGATGCGAGTCATGTAACATCATGACTGCATGCCCGGCTCATGATGCGCCGGCGGCCGTTTCGCTAGCTTCACTTATACCAAATTTTGTGATACGGGACGTGAATGGATGAAAAAGGTATGATACTGGTGCAAACACGATAAACATGAGATGCATGTCATGTAACGACATGACTACATGCTACGCTCAAAATGCGCTCGTACCAGTTTCGATAGCTTCTCATGTACCGAACTCAGTATTACGTGACTCGAACGAACGGCATAGGTAAATGACACATACAAACATGATAATCACTACATGCGTGTCATGTAACAACATGACTACTTGTCACACTGATGATGCGCTCGCGGCCGTTTCATTAGCTTCACATATGCCAAATTCGGTATTACGTGACGCAAATGGATGACGAAAGTATGTGACTGGTGCAAGCACGATAATCTTGAGATGCGTGTCATGTGAGAACATGACTACATGCCACAGTCAATGCGCCAATACATTTCGACGTGACGCGGTGCGCGTGCTTACCGGCGTTCATTTCGTCGCGTCACGCCGGCGTTGCCATGGAAGGCGCCCGGTCCTGCTATATACTTGCAGGCGCGCGCCGCGCTGCGCTGCTCTGACGAAAAGAGTGAGACGCCGTCTTGTCTCGATAACGCATTGGCGCGAAATGCAACATGTCGTGTTTTGCGCCGGTTGCTGTCAAACTGCACCGACGGACGCTGGTCGCGCCTGGCATTAGACTATGGAGTGCTCACGTTTTGCTAACGTAGCATTGCTGCGCCCAGTGTGCGTGTTCGTCAACGCCACAGTGGAGTATATTGGGCCCTTCTTGATGCACTTCCGGCCGTTTTGCTAGGTCCACATATGACAAATTTTGTGTTACGTGATTTCTAAGGATGACGAAATATATGACTGGTGCAAACATGATAATCCTGACACGCGTGTCGTGTAAGAACATGACAACACTTCACGTTCATAGCGTCCTCGTGGCCGTTTCGCTAGCTCCACGTATATTAAATTTGGTATCACGTGACGTCAATAAATTGATTGATTTCAATTGATGTGTGGGAGTTAACGTTCTAAAACCACCATGCACTATGAGGGACGCCGTAGTTGAGGGCTGCGGAAATTTCGACTACCTGGTGTTCTTTAACGTGCACCCAAATCTGAGCACACGGGCCTACAACATTTCCGCCTCCATTGGAAATGCAGCCGCCGCAGCCGGGATTCGATTCCGCAACGTGCGGGTCAGCAGCCGAGTACCTAATTCACTAGACCACCACAGCGGGGCATGACGTCAGTAATGACGAAGGTAAACGACGCATCCAAACATGATAATCATGACACGGAAGTCATGTATGGCATCATTTACCACCACCTCGTAACGTTGTGCTGATTTCAAAGTGACATATTTATTTATTTATTTATTTATACTGCAGCCCTAATGCGGGACTATAGCAGGAGTGGATTAGTCATACAAAACTAATACAAACAGAGCAACAACAATAAACCAACAATAAAACCTAAATACAAAAGAAAACATCGCTATGGTATTGTAAACACGATCTTTATCTATTTCTAAATGGGCAATAGCGGCATCAATGAAATTTTGAAAAGATAGTGAACGAATACTGCCCGGTAAGGAATTCCATAGGTCTACAGGAAAAAACTACATTTGAATGTGTTAGTACGAGCAAATAAAGGCTTTATGTTCAAGATGTCGGAGCTGCGGGTGCAAGATTTTTCATCAATGCGATGTAGTAACCACCAAAGATGCCAGGAGAGGAGTTAATGACTGTATATAATAGTTTTAAAGATTCGATGCAATAACGAGAATGTAGTGGTACAATGTTCAGTGGTTGCAGAGGCTGTCTTGGTGAGAAGTTGTGGCTATAGTTGCGGTATATGAAGCGGATGGCCTTACGTTGAACGCTATCGAGGATTTTTAGGTCACCTTGTTTGTGAGGGTACCAAACGACAGATGCGTATTCTAGAATAGGGCAAATCAATGTTTTATACAGAAGTAATTTAGTATCACGGGGGATTTACCCAGAGTACGGCGCAAATAACCTATTATTTTTAGAGCTTTCGGGCTGATATATTCACTGTGGTTGGTTCAGGAAAGATTTTGTCAGGATCACACCCAAATATTTATATTGTGAGACCCTTTCAAGTTGTATACCATCCAAGCAATATTCAAACAAAAACGGATTCTGTGCATTGGTAAATGACATGACGACTGTTTTATTGCAATTGACGTTCATCTGCCAAGTTTCACACCAAGAGCTGAAAGAAATGAGCGATTGTGAAAAATGGTGATGATCTTCCGCAAAATTAAATGGTTCGTATAATACGCAATCATGAGCATAAATTCTTATTTTAGAGGATAATCAGTGAGGTAAATCATTAATGTATATCAGGAATAATAATGAGCCTATTACAGATTCCTGAGAAACACCTGACGTGACGTCAACAAGGAATGAATCCACTGAGTTGAAGAAAACAATTAATAAGCAATAATGAAGGAAACTGGCAATCCAAGAAACAAGACGGGAATTATTGAGTATGGTATCTAATTTCACTAGCAACTTTGAATGAAGAACAGAGTCAAAAGCTTTAGAGAAGTCAATGAAAATGGCATCTATTTGATTTCCTACGCCTAGGTTAGAGGCGACGTCATGAACAAAATCGACTAATTGTGTAACCGTGCTGAAGCTTCGACGGAAAGTGTGCTGAGCAGACGTTAGAATTTCTTCGGAGTCGAGAAATTCAATGATGTGCTTGTGAATAATGTGTTTCAAAATCGTGCATGACTGTGGTGTGAGAGATATTAGCCTGTATTTAGATAAAAGCTGTTTATCACCAGATTTAAACAAAGGCAGAACTTTCGCAGTTTTCCATGAAGATGGTACTTCACCACAGTCTAGGGACTTTTGAAAAATTACAGTGAGGTAACTGGCTGTCCATGCGGAGTATCTCACAAGAAAGGAATTCGGTATACCGTTAGAACCGGAACATTTCTTGGTGTCGAGATTCAAGATTAAGCCTAATACACCTTCAGTGCTTCTTACAATATCACCTATTTTATTGGTTTGTACGTCATGATTAAAATTGGAAGAACATGATTGTCGAGGGTGAAAACTGGCTGAAAATAAACGCTAAATGCATTAGAAACTACGACGGGGTCGTTTGTAATGGTGTCATTAATCTTGAAAGAGGAACTGGTTGCTGTACTAAGCAAGGCTGAAGTCCAGAACCTGCAAGGATTGGATTTAAGTAATAAAGGAAGTTGTACAGAATAGTAGAAGTCTTTAGCGTTTTTTGAGCAAGCGCGAAGTTCTGCCTTGGCTTTCTCAAGGAAGCTTGAAGCTCAGGGTTAGCATGTCTGGTTTTACGCAGTCTGGCAACACGGCGAGATAAATGCAGTATATCCCTGTTAATCCAAGGCAGATTGTTATTCACCTTTTTTTGTTTTTAATGGAATGTATTGATGCAGAATTTCGCTAATGTCTCAAAATAACCAACAACACTGTTGACAGGAGACACAGTGCTAAATGACAAGAAATGGTCAAAGCTATCCGCCAGAGTATCAGAAATAGACGCGTTATCAGCTTCGTTGAAATCCCGAAATGTAGAGTAGCTGTAACGGTCATGCGGGATAGGACAATTTATGTGTGCAAGGATGGCGTCATGGTCCAAATTTTTTCTAATATATCGTATTTAAAGCCTAAGTTCGCAAGACTGTCACTGATAAAGACTAGGTCGAGTATAGAGTTCTGCCACGTGTTCTCTTCAACTACTTGTATCAGGTTATGGGACGAGAAAAATGAAATGGTTGCCCTACAGATGGATGAATTAGTGGTGGAATATGTGAGGGAAGGCTAATGAATTCCCGGAACATTGAAGTCGCCAAGAATGATTAAGTTTGTGCGGTCGAGGCTATGGTCATGAATGAACTGAGAAATGTTATCGAAGAAGTCACTGGAGCTTTCAGCAGAACGATAAAGGCCACAAATTGTTAAATTCTGCTTATGCGCTAGTAACCTGCACCAAACTGATTCTACATTAGGAGGACCTCAAAAAATTTTGAAGTTAAAATCAGCGCGCTAGCGTAAAGCAACGCCTCTCCCTTTCTTATACTGGCGGTCGCGCCGGATGGCGATGTAACCAGGAGGAGTGAATTCCGTATCATGTATATCCTCATGAAGCCATGTTTTAGTGATGCAATAAACATGAGTGGAAGATGAATAAACTAGCGAACAAAACTGTGGAAATTTGTTAGCTATGCTTCTATAGCATTAACATTCAAAAGTGCCAGCTGCGTAATAGTTGAACTGGGACTGTCAACCTAATGAAAATTGTGCGTTTGGCGGTTTGGTGCTTATAGGTTCAAAACCAAGAGCTCTAACCAAACTATTCGTGATGCTATCCCAGTTATAACAAATATTATCAATGAATAAGTGATCAAATCTCATTTTAATGTTAGAGCCATTGTTACGTTGCTCAACCGAAGCATCCCAAAGTTTCTTGCCTACTGAGCGCACTCTAGATGAAAAATCTTCGGAGAGCTTTAGACCGGTCTGTTTCAGCTTATGCGCGTTTTTCAACATTACTCACTATCAACATTTTCAACAATACTCATTCGTGCTTCGCGTATAATGGGTTCGCACTGTATGTGGGATCTGCCAATTTTTTTGATCTACAGCAAGGCTGCCTTTTGTGTGGCCAGAAGGCACGCCAATAGTTTTTTCGCTACAAAGAACTATTGTGTGTCAAGGGGATGCTCCATCCTTTCCAATGTGACGTCGCTGCATTGGCAAGGACCGCGTACTACCGTAGCATGCAGTATTTCTCACTTTTGAACAAATTAACGGGGCCAGCGCGTGCGCCGAGCCCCACTACCAAAAATTACATGCCCCATCTGCCCCAATTAGGGGTAGTGGCGTGCTTCAACCAACCGCAGTGTAGTGGAAGGCCTCGACACGGGGCGCTGACCTTGGTGATCATCAGCAGCCCGACACCAAGTAAGTATGCTGAGGGGCGCGTGGCAATTGTGGGCCATTTCAAAAGACGCGGTGCTAGGCACTGGTGCCGAGCACTGTTTCGTGTGAATAAAAATACTGTTTTTAATGATGGTACCCCGTGAAACTACTGGTGAATATCTAGAAGATGGTTCGACACAATATTATAATCTCTTATTGCAGTATTAATGAGCATAAACATGTTAAATAAATGCAGACAAACTGCATTTTTGGTGGTGCAATGAACGTTTAGTGATACTTGGCTTCAGTGACGCCTGGTAACACCAAGGAACACCCTTTCCGCGCAGGCACACTAAGTGGTCAAGAAGTCGTCATGCCGTCGCTGTTATGCTATCGCCAGCCTGCCAGAAAGGTCACACAAGTGTCGTTATTCCAGCGTTCTGTTGACGCTAAACGATGAAGATTGCATAATTATGGACTCAGCGGCTATCGATTCTAGTTAAAAAGTTAATTGTGTTAATTTCTATAGTTACGGCCGTATTTATTGTTTGTACTCGTCTGTAGGTACCTTCTGCCAAAGGAAGCCAGCGCCGCAAGTAGAACGCAGATACCTCCTTTCTGTAATTAAAAAAATGTTAGACATATTTCTTGAAACACTTTGTATATATAGAGAAGAAGCGGCCGTTGTAGAGCTATGGTGGTGCAGCGGCTGTAGTAGAACTATGATAGTACAGCAACGATGCAACTACATAGAAGGAGTGACAGTGATGGGTGTAAGCCTGTTTGCTGACAGAGGCAAGTACGCTGCTTGTACAATGTGTGTTGGGGGCGCCGCTTTCCTCATGATCGTTAACATATTGACATTATACATATGATGAAGCTTCTGCGAGTGCTACCAAAGCATGCAGCCGGGGGTGTGCAATACTTGTTAGAGCTTTCATATACTCTTCTTTATATATATGTCTTAATGGTACGCATATCTTCCGCCACGGCGTATCAGTGGCTACTGTGACGCGACTGCTGACCGCAAGGTCACGTGTTCGATCCCGGCTTTGCGCCAGTCGCATCTTGAAGGAGGTGAAATGGTAGAGGCTAGTGTACCGTGCCATGTCAGTGCCCGTGAAAAAACACCAGATGGTCTGTATTTACTAAGCCCTTCGCTACAGCGTCTGTCGTTAATACCAATTACAGTAAAACCTCGGTGATGCGATCAACAGCTCGTACAATATTTGGTGTGATGTGAGTGTCTTCGTGGCCCAAGACAAGGTCCTCAGCCTTCAGTGTAATGCAGTATGGTTGTTGTGAGTTCGTTTTCACGATGTTTCATACGAAACTACGCTTGTGCGCAGGTAAGGACATGGGCTGCCTGCACTGTCACGGAAGATGTGGTAATAACGAGCGGGTGCGAAAATCCAATCGTGCGCGTGCATTCTGCGCATAGGTTCGCGCAGAATTCCCCATCAGGGGGTGGGGCAATGGTTCTTCGCAGCAGCCACTGCTGAAAGGAGTATTTCAATGTTCCCCCTGCTTGGGCCAAAGTGACATCTTTCGGTATTTCTATATAATTACTAAGAATAAATAAAATTGGTTCAGTGGAATCCCGCGAAATAGTAGTACTGATACAAATCAACTAATTCAGAACCACCCGTTCGTAGTACGAAGCCTCAAGGAAGTTTGCACGAATTTACAAATAAATGCAAACGAGTTTTCTTGTGGATACCTATGCGTTTCCACACGGATTGCTGTGTGATTACTTTGTTGTTTGATTGATCGATTTATGGGGTTTCACGTTCCAAAACCACTATATGATTATGAGAGACGCTACTTTGTGGTTGGTGACGCAACTCGTACCTCAAGATTCTTGACGAACGACGACTTCCTTGCCTGGGCCACGAGCACTTCGACGGTGATGCCTAGTACGCTGAGTGCGCACCATATCCCGTCTGACTTGGCCATGTCGTGCCAGAACCAGGTGAAGGCAAATGACGCTGCTGTGCCCAGAACCAACCACGTTGCCCCTTTACGGCCACCTGCCACCGGTTCATAGAAGTACCTACCGTGGCAGGAAGTTAGGACACATTTTGAAGATAGACAGACAGATAGACAGACCGACAGACAGACAAAGAACTTTATCACAGTTTTGAGGAGCAGCGCAGTGTTGCAGTGCTTCCCTGACTTGCTGCCGGCTAACAGATTTTTCCTAAAGCATACTTTAAAGAAGCTCAACAAAAAACATGAAATACAACTTATTGAATGTTCCTGTAGGCTCCCCGAGTTCAAATATGTGATCATTGTTTCTCTCTCACGTTTGCTACTATGCCTACAGGCGCTAACAGCTCCTTGTCCAATAGTTTGACATAAAACGTCATGAGGAACGCTAGCACCTAGCATTCATTTTTCCGCATTTCACACTCTTCGGCTACGCGCTGTTATCTGAGCTTTTTGCGCCGTCGATAACGCGGAAGTTGAAGCGAAATTAGTTTATTGCGTGTGATAATCCTGCAAAGAGTTAATATAGACAGATGGGACACGGGGCTGCATGAAAAAGCAGAGTATGAAACAATTCGAACTGACGTCTCCCGTATATGGACCAATCGAGAGCTCATGCTCTGACGACGTCACGTGAACTGGTTGACGGCGTCACAAGTTGTCCTGATAAGACGACAAACGCCCGGAGAGAATACCTTGCCGGTTTTATATTGTAGTTTCAGGGGCTGTTTAGTTGCCCTTTAGCTATCCAAACTACTTGCGGGTACTTATGCCTGCAGCGGGTGATTTTCGCATTCACCTCATCAGGTGGGGAGATAGAGATGGAAACGCGTGAAAAAAGTAGCAATTACTGACCTGGTGTCAAGTATAAAATTACTTCAGCAGCTAGAGTATTAAGGAGGCTGCTTGTACCCACTCATTAAGAGAGCATGACAGTCACGCCCTGCAACTTTGTAACTGAAACCATCAGTTAAGAAAAAAAAAAACGCCAGGCCTGCGCGGAAAGAGCTCCACAGTCACAGCGAAAGCTAGAGCAGCGGACTTTCGGAGCCTTTTCTAAACACGCATTGGGCAACCTAGAAGTGTGGCAGCTTAGGCTAGTTGGTATGGTATGACGATAGCTATAGCGCGAGAACAAAATGATGACACAGAGACAAGAAGGACACGAAGGACACGAAGCGCTCGTGTCCTTCGTGTTCTTCGTGTCCTTCTTGTCTCTGTGTGGTCGTTTTGTTCTCGCACTATAACTATCGTCATTGGGTAACAGCTGCAAGCACACTTGCTTTACACCCACTACGCCATTAATAAAAAAAAATTGGTAGTAGGCCAGCACTCGCTATGCTATTTTTCGTCATTGTACTGAGAATCGTGGTATCCGCTAAAAACTTGAAAGGGATTTTGTGCCAATTGTTCATGCAGTGGCTGATGACGATGAATAGTTATTCCTGAAGTAGGTATGTGCCAGAGTCAATAGCTGAACAAGAAGAAGCTAATGCGTTGGAGCATTGGACGACCCACTCGTTACGCTATTCGCATTGCGCGCGCGCCGAGTGGTTGTTGTTTCGCTGTTTTAAAACGCTTTATAAGTCTAATTACGCGATTGCTTTCTCGACATCAAGCCTGCGTAAGTTCTAAATAAGAGCGCACTACGTATATCGCAAATTTCACTGCCTAGAGAAGGTGCTGGTGCAAGCCCAAGATGGCTGTCGTTTGGGGGATCGTGCAGCCGGCGTGCTGACAGCCGCCACCGACGTGCCCGTCACTTCGACCTGCGTAGTATTTGCGGCTGCAGCCACCGTGTTGTCAAAGCTTTGCTGAGAGGGACATTGACTCTAACTTGTATTATATCCCACACTGCGTGTTGAGAAACGCATGTGTGGCGTATATTGAAGGAAAAGAAGTTTCATATGCCGGGCACACCGTCTGCTGCGGTGTAGAGCTCTGTGAACGCTGCTCGTGCCACGGCCAGGGAAGACCGAGTGGCCGTGCTCGTGCGAAGCAGAAAACCTCGCCTTTGACTGCACGGCGTCTGCACAGCGGCATCCAACATATTTTGTGAATCTTCTAGCTCAGTAAGCGAACAACAAAGAATAAATCATTGCTACTACGGCTCGCAGACCTGTCTGACTTCACAATAACCCTGGTAGAAATTGGCAGCGACAAAATATAAAGCACCAGCGAGCCGCCAAAGTGAGGCCGACTGAAGGATGACATGGGCTGGCTCCTTGGGCATACCCCGAACGGCAGTTATGACGGATGCCGCATGGTGGCGCCACCATCTGTGAAAGTTGCGATGTCCCTGTCTATCCTGTCCGCATCTACGTAGCGCGCTCTTATTTCAAGCAGTCATGTATCCCCAACTCGCCCAATCAACCATATTGACCTGCCTAAGGCAAGTTTGCCAATAGGTCTGAAGCACCAGTGTGGCTCACGGGTGGAACACTGCACTGTCACCCAGTGAACCCGGGTTCAAGCCCGACAGTGTCAATCACACTATGTTTTTTTTTAGTTTTGTGCGATGTGGTTGCGAACACCGGCGGCGGCGGCGGACAACTACGGTGGCGCGTGACCCAAGTTTTGATCTTAGAACAGCGTTCGCTGTAAAAAAAACGAAAATATTTGTCAGAAAGACGGCTCATTTTTACCCCGGTATATCAATATGTTGGCATGACCTTGATCTGTAAACATACATCATATTGTTATATTCTTTTTTTCTTGATTCAAGTACCCTGGCTTCCTCGAGTGATGTGTGGACTTTAACGTCCCAAAACCACCATTTGATTATGAGAGACGCCATAGTTGAGGGCTCCCGAACTTTGGACCGCCTGGGGTTCTTTAACGTGCACCTAAATCTAAGCACACGGGCCTCAGCATTTTCGCCTCCATGGAAAATGCAGCCGCTGCAACCGGCATTTCAACCCGCGACCTGCGGGTCAGCAGCCGAGTGCCTTAGCCACTAGAACACCACGGCGGGGCACCCCGACTTCCGCGTTTTTACGGTAATTTTTACAAATAACAGTACATTGCACTCGCTGATAACGCTCGAGAAGAAAGATGGCTCGACATATAGTACTTTGTAGGAGAGGGAACTGCCCGAGACGGTTTATACGTATTGATAAACTAATCAAGTGCATTTCAATGAGCCAGCTGTGAAATTATTATGCACTACCAAGCATGAGATTGCAAATAATCCGCAATATTACTTATCTGAAAGGTTTGTTTGAACTGACGCGCTGAAGATTTCCGAAAATTACCGTATTTTTCGTTGTTTGTAGATATGTAGCACTTGGTACTCTTCTACGGGAGAGCATATAAGCGTCCCAGTATGTAATAACACGTGTGTCACAATAAAATATGCAAGTTCAAACACTGTCGAGACCAATCATTGTGGACATTAGGACGTTTCTAAGGTGTAGGACTACAGTGATACAAGCTTGCGAACGTCCCCGATTCTCAGGTGTGCAACATGTTTTGTACTGATCTATATTTAGAGTGAAAAAGGCTGTAACAAATGTGATTTGGTAATCCTTCTTACCTTCTGATGTATAGGTGCATTCCTCTATCAAAGTACCTGAAAGTAAAATAAGCAACTTGAAATATTCCATAAATAGCCATAAAGATATGATGTTTCAGCTAATCCTCTTCAACTGCTCACTTTTTCAAAACTCGTTTGCGAGCTCTTTTCCGAATCAGAAAACAATAGTAGTTCGGAAGTAAGGTATCTGCCAATTTTTGCCCCTTAAAAAAAAACATGATTTTAGAGGCGAAGCTTCTTAAAGCGGCACCCGTTCTTCCCTCGTCGTAGTGCGTAACCAGTCTTACGTTTTGACCTGCAAGGTGGTGCTGGTGGGAGATTTTGTCTGTGCGTTGTTGAACAATAAAGAAGTCGCAGCGTGTGCGTTGACTAAAATCCAAATGCTCCTGTCTCTCATTCCCCCTTAGCAGCCATCGGCATGTACATTGAGCACTATATGACAAGAAAGGGTTGCTACGTTATACTCGCTAAAACGTCCTTAGTTTTAGGAAGGTTTAGCGAGCGTTGAGCCGCAGTGCCATGAATACAATGAACTAGTATATACCATGAACTCGAGGTGGTTAAAGGTGGGAAGTAGATACGAAGCGCAAGCCGTAAGAAAGTAAAAGCCGAATGCTCCTGCCTCTCATTTGCCATTAGCAGCCATTGGCATGTACATTGAGCGCTATCTGACTGAAAAAGGTTGCTGCGTTGTACTTGCTGGGCGTAACCTCCTTGGTTTCAGAAAGGTTTAGCGAGCGTTGGACCGCAGTGCCGTGAATACAGTGAACTAGTATATACCATGAACTCAAGGTGGTTAATGTTGGGAAGTAGACCCAAAGCGCAAGCCGTAAGAAAGTGTGCGTGTGCCACCTCTCGTTTAGTCCTTGGAATGTCCGCTGGAAGGCGGTGCTTCTATATAGGGAATATATGATGAAAAGATGCCAGATGGTGGTACTTAGAGTAGTTAATAGATGGACGAATGGACACGCAGACAGATGCATGGATGGACGCATGAATGGACGCAGGGGCGGATGCATGGACGAACGCAGGGATGGATGCACGAACAGACGCACGCACGAATGGGCGGATGGACGCATGGACGGTCACACAGATGGACGCACGGACGGACGGAAGCAAGAAAGAATGGACGGACGAAGGCTTCGCCCCACTCTCCATCATTCACTCCGTTGATATGCTGCCAATTTTTTTTTACTTTTTATAAACAAGTTCACATCTACATTCGCTTTTCTTCACAGCATCAATCATTCACCTTAATGGCATAATTTAGCCCCGCGAATACCTGGCCGAAAGAGAGAACGTATTCTGTGTGGTGCACAAAAATTAATTACTTTCTTCTCAAGTGTGGTTCACCCAGGTTCATGAGCCCTCAACGGTACACGTGAATAATAATAATAATAATAATAATAATAATAATAATAATAATAATAATAATAATAATAATAATAATGTTACAGCAAGTTGTGATGAAATTGATTTATTTATAAGAGTAGAGCGATGGTCCTTCGTGGTGGCGCACTGTGATCTCGCCAAGCCTCTTCGTCTTCCTGTCTTTCTCTTCTCTGCCTCTCGCATGTCCGTTACATTTCCCCGCAAGCAGACGAAGCCCGTAGGGCGAGTAATAATGCACAAGGAGGGTAGGAACGTTTTAGGCGAGCAACGTGAGAGAGGTGAGTTCTGCTCGATCATCGACCATTGTGCAAAAGACGAGCTATTACGTAGGTGAGCTAGCTGAGATCCTCCAAAACTACAAATGGGCCTGAATATTGCGACAGAAGCTGTTGACACAATCCACGCTTGCGTTGCGGTGTCCAAAGCAACACAAAGTCACCTTTTTTGATTGATACTCGTTCGTGACGGTCGTCGTATCGTGCCTTCAAACGATGCTGATAGGCCAGAGTCCGAAGTCGAGTGATTTGACGGGCTTCTTCCGCGAGGCACCAGGTGTTCAATACAGAATCGCTATTGTGTAGAAAGAAGGGTAAGAAAATGTCCAGATGGCTTAGTGGAAATTTGGCGTACAACAAATAAAATGGGCTAAAGTTGGTTGTTTCGCGTTTCGCCGTGTTGTACGCGTACGCTATAAAAGGCTGCACGTCATCCCAGTTCTTGTGATTGGAGGATACGTACATGGCAAGCATGTTGGTCTACGTTCTGTTTGTCCGTTCAACGAGGCCATTCGTCTGCGGATGATACGGTGTGGAATGACGGAACTGTGTCGTGCACATGCGAAGCAATTATTCAGTGGCATCATCAGTGAACTGGCGGCCATAGTCGCTGATAATAACACGTGGTGAGCCATGGCGAAGGACCACGGAGTGAAGCAAGAAGTCTGCCACGGAAGCAGCGGGAATGGCCGTGGTTTCGGCGTACCGCGTAAGATGATCCACGCAGACAATTATCCAACGGTTCTTATTGTTAGTTAACGGAAATGAACCCGTAACGTCAATTTCCTTTTGTTCAAAAGGCGTGCTGAGTGGTGTTATTGGCGGAAGGAGACTTAGTGTTGCGGTGGCCGGGCGCTTGTGACGTTGGCATGTCTCGCAGATAGTGACGTAACGCTTCGTTGTTTCGTATATATTGGGCCAGTAAAACCATTTCTGCGTGCGGTGCAGCGTTCGTATGAAGCCGAAATGACCGGATATCGCATCGTCATGCATAACACGTAGAACACCGGAGCGAAGGCTCTCGGAGACAACTAAAAGAAAACTTGCTCCAGGTCTGAAGTAGTTAGTCTCATAGAGCAACTTGTCTCGAACCATAAAGCGACCACTCTGTTAGGAGGTACGGGCAGCGGCGAAAAAAGGAACCGGGTTAAGATCGTTGCGTTGTTCTCTCTGGAAATTAGCCACGTAGAGGAACGTGCTTGTAACCGCAGCAATGCAGTCGTTGAAATTCTCAGCATTGCAGTCGGTAGTCGCAAGAGGAATCCGTTAGAGGCAGTGTGTATCAGAATGGCAACGGCCACACTTGTACGACACCGTAAAGTCGTATTCCTGAAGTCGCAGCGACCAACGTGTGAGGCGGCCAGAGAGATAACGCGAACCGACCAGCCAGCATACTGAATGATGATCGGTGTTTATCCTAAATGGCCTCCGTAAAGATAAAAACGGAACTTCAGTGCGGCAAAAACAGCTCCTAGACATTCTTGTCCCGTAACTGTGTAATTGCGTTCAGATTTGCTCAGGCAACGGCTGACATATGCCTCGGCATGCTCTGCGCCACTGTGACGTTGTACAAGCACCGCTCCAATGCCGATACCACTAGCGTCAGTGTGGACCTCAGTTGAGCAGGATTAATCAAAGTGTTGCAATTGTGGTGCTGACGTTAGTACAAACTTAAGTTGTGAGAATGCGGCATCACACTCTGGTGTCCAGTTGAAGGTCACATCCTGTCACAACATGCTTGTCAGCGGATACACGATCTCCTCAAATCGTGAAACAAAAGGACTGAAATAGGAGCGTAGGCCTACAAATGAGCGAAGTTCTCGTGTGCACTACGGTGGTTTGAAAGAGCTCACTGCTTCAATCTTGCGAGGATCGGGTCTGACACCATCCTTGTCGACTAAGTGCCCCAGCATCAGAGTTTGCCATAGCGACATCTTTTGGAATTCAGAACCAGCCCGGCTTTTTCAATGCAGTAGAGAACAAGCCTGAGATCGTTATTATGTTCTTCGAAAGTGTGGCCAAAGATCACATCATCGTCAAGGCAGCACATGCATATACCCCTTTTATACTACGTATTACTGTCTCTATAAATCTTTCAAGGTGACAGGAACATTATAAAGGCCAAAAGGCATGACATTAAACTCACATAAGCCACCCGGAGCTACGAAAGCAGTCTTTGCTTTGTCGGTGGGTTCCATAGAAGTTGTCAATAACAGGATCTTAAATCAAGCGTTGAAAAAAAGAAGGCGGCGTGCAAGCGATCTATGACGTTATCAATCCGTGGAAGGGGATATACATTCCTTCTTCGTCACAGTGTTTAGGCGCCTGTAATCTACTCAGAATCTGCCTAACTTTTTTTTTCAATGACGAAGCTGTATATGGGGATTCCTAAAGATTTGGTCGGTAGATAAAGACTAGCACCAAGACTTGTCATCGTCAAGAACGGCTGTGTGTCACAAAAGCTGCGCAAGTCCCACTACTCAGCGCTGTCCCTCTAAGTGTAACGAACGCAAGAGAAGGGCGGCAAACACCAGTAAAAATTTTGGAAAGACGTCACGACTCACCGGTAACTCAGAAAAGACTCGATAAACCATCGGGATCAACCCAGTGATAAAGACTTTGGCCCCGCGTTTCAGCTATGCTGAAACGCGGCGCCAAGGTGTTTATCACTTTAACACTCCGTAGTGACGTTTCAGCTGTGCTGAAACGTCGCTACGGAGTGTTTCGGGAGTACACACAATAAGAGAATACGAGGGGAAGGAAAAGGCAATGGTGGCAACGGAAAGACCCTGAACTGAGGGAATCCCTACGTGAACAATGACGTGCCCGTGGGTCTATGGAAGGCTCGAGTGCTCGGCTTCAGCGCAAATCTCTGACTCTCACTTAGGACTGCTGTGTCGTTCCCGCGTCTGTCCGTAATTTAACTCAAACCTTCTGCATTGAGAATCAACCTACATTGAACTAAAATCAACCATATAAAACGTACCAACAACCTAGCATCACCTAACTAAAGCCTAGCAACAGCCTAAAAGTGATCAGCTCCTTGCTGAGTCCCGCAAAGCTCCTTGAACCACCCCCCGTGCTAAGTCCCGCTATAGGCTTGAAGCTTAGTGGACTTGGCACGAGATTCACCATTTTGGGATGCACGAACATTCGTTTCTTTACTGAGGCTTACATTTATTCCAAGTAGGCGTTGATCAGTGTTTAAAAGTATGGCTCGTTCGGAATGTTAGGTCACTCTTCGATAGACTCACCTCCAAAATTGAGAGCAGAGGTTCAACCTCGCTATGCACTTGGCGTGCAGCGGGAGCTCGATTCCTTCAGCTCGGGCCAGAGCACCGGCGACTCCGTAGTTGAACACGTAGCGCACGTAGAAGAAGAACAACAGTGATAGGCCGAAGCCCACAAGGCTTGCCGGGTCGAGCTTCCGATCATCCAGGGCCACTGGGACATCGCGGAACTGCGTGGTTGGCGTAGGATATAACAGCGGTAAAGATGGCGTGAGAAGAGAACACATCCGCGGCTTTGCACTAACAACTAAGCTTTGTTGTAAAACAACAGAAATATATAGGAAACCGCTATATGCGCAAATCATGAAACATGAGCAGAAAAGCCCATACATGTGATAAAGGTCCGTTCAGTAAACAGACAGGAACGGCACATTCAAGCGGAACCGGGGTCCATGCTTGCAAAAACGCCTTACGCTGAGTCCTTTCGTAGAGTACTAGTTTTGACAATCGCGATGCGGTACATTTGATAAGCGAAGTTGACTCACCAATGAGAAAGTGCACTCAGGAAAGAAAGTTTTTGTGAATTCGGCGCAAGGTCTACTAGTTACGACTACATTTCGGCTTGTCGCTGCAAGTAGTTTATGATTTACCGGTATTTCTGAATAATATTTGTTCGTGTTGTTGTCTGCGCCCAGTTTTTCATGGTATCGAAAAATTGCTGCTCCTCAATACGTTGCTGCCTTTACTGACAATGTGTCTGACGTCGAGATTTCACCAGAAATTTTTTTTTCTGGAAGTGCTGGAACCTCTGGACTATAAGAACATTTTTGGGAATGAAACCTTTGCGAATCCATGTTTAGGCAAATGCTATTGTGCGCAGAGTTAACATGGTAATAAAAATCTTCATGGCCGTTATGAAAAAGCAATGAGAAATAGAGACTTTTGCTTCTCAATCACAATGTGCAGAAAAGTTAGTGCCGATATTCATTTCGAAAAGCAAGCTCATAAAAATACGCATCCCTTTCAGGCACCGAACAAAAAGCTGTAAATATTCATAAAATGTGCTTTGTTGTCATTGCTTTTACACAAACGTGGGTATATTTTGTAAAGCACATATCTTACACCGGTGTACTCTGTCCACGGTTTATTGAGAGCACTCCTTTCATCAAGAAAATACATTCATTGCGTCATTCTTAGGGCGACTTCAAGGGAGATACACGAGTTATACTTTCATATGAAAAGAAAAACTAGGCACTTCTTAAAATATGTTTATTAATAAATTACTCATTTTTAGAATCAAACATATTGTATCACTGAGCAACTTCCCCAAGACGTAAGAGACCGATTCGTCCAAGCGTGCTGACAATGACTGTTGAAAACTGCGCAAGAAAGTGAAAACTGGACTAATATTACTAGCCTTAGTGAAAATACGTTATAGACAGGACAAGGTACTCAGTAGGTTGGTATACAAACCTTCTCACTACAAAGTCATTCTATCGCCACATTTGGCACATATAAAACAGGAGAGGCACCTATGTTGAAACTTATTATACCCAGCCTGTGAATACTCATCCTGTAACTGCCTTCGAGTACTCTCTCTTAAATCGTTCGTCCCACCTACCATAGACGCGTGGTAGGTAACCTGAGTGCCTCTACGCGCGAGTTACATTGTCAACTGGTCACTGTAAATGAATTATTCATTAGTGGCTTCACATTAACTACAATCGCAACATGGTAACTAGTGTGAGGCCGATTTAAGAAACCTTCTATTCGTACGTGCTTATTTCTATGGACCATCCGGCTTCGCAAGTAGGATGCGTAGCATTAGGATTGGCTAAACGTTTCTGTTAGAATGAACAGCAGAAATTCTGGCGTGAAACGTTTTGGTCACCATGGGCCCGGACATGCGGCAACCAGTACTCTTTGCAAGAGGCGTTATAAAAAAGCCATGTTATTTTATATTCCTCTTTCTTGCATTGGTAACTATTATCTGGAAAAATGCCAATGAGCACAAAAGGACGCACCTGTACAGGTAGTGGGCCATGACTTCAGCCAGAAGAAAGTGAGCACAGCTTCGGAGCACACCTGATATGGCGGCGCCCATTTCCCGCAGAGTGCACTGCGACCTTACTTTATCCAGCTGTATAAAGGTTTGAAGCCTTCTTACAAACATCACCCATCACGTAACAATACCTGTGATTGACCGTCCCAAAACCACTATATGAATATGAGAGACTATGTAGTGCAGGGCTTTACAAATTTAACCACCTGGAGTTCTTTAACGCGTACCAAATGAAAGTTCACCGGACTCTGTTGACAATACAGCCTCCGAGGCTGGTACTCGATCCTACGATCTTCGGGTCAGCAGTCGAGAGCCACAACCACTAGACTACCGTAGCGGGGGCACCACACATACAACCGTTATTAATTGTCCATTTACACGTGGCGTATATACTCTAAAAGGTTGAACAATTGAAGTTCTGCGCTACTGAGTATAGTTCCGAACATAGGATATGTAATCAATTTCATTCATAGTGCACACGCAGAGCTTGACTGAATTATAAACTGGCTTGGCGGAGGTCATTTGCCATTCATGGAGCATTACCAAGATTATTGAAAGGAACTGGGGAATGGGGATCAACACCTTTATTCAAAACGAGAAACAAATTAATTAGAATGATTTCATTAGCTAGAAAAAAATTCAGCCATTCCTGATGTAACGCATGTTCTTAAGCAAGTTAACTTGCAGATGGCGAGGAGCTTTTATGAAACAAAATCTCGCCTAAAACTGCTCTAAGTACGGTATTTATGGCAAGCTGTCAAGGCAAATGTATGCTAAGCCGTCCTGCCAATGTCCAGTCTGCCAATGACATGTCTATTAGTAAGTGAAGCCAACTTCTCAATGATCAACTAGCCCGTTATTTGGTTAGCAATATACCAAGCCAGCTTACCAATTACGTAGCTAATAATATAATAAGCTACCTTGTCAGCTCGTTAACTCTGGCTTTGCATCTCAACATAAAGTTCTCCATATCCTCAAATCTATACTTTAGGGTAGCAAGTGAAATGTGCGTTTTTCTTCACCTTGTTTTCTTTCTCTTATATTCATGACGCAAGATCATTATGCTTTAGATGTTCAAGTATCACACACAAACAGTACCTGTGCCGCATAGTCGTAGTAATTCTGCAATGGTCCAAGATACACAGTAGGCAAGTACATCACGTAGGCTAGCGTCTTCCAATACGGAGGCCACCGGCTGCGATGGTACTCGGGCTTTTCTCGCTGGGTGCGTATCAAGTCCAAGCTGAAGCTGAGGCCGCGCAATATATTCCAATGGAATGCGACGTAGGTTACCATGTTTGTCTCAGCTCCGTACTTGTCGTACACATACTGCACCAAAATAAAAAAAAATGAATAGTATACAAACCTTCGGATGCCTAACCGTCAGGCGCGTATAATTTTTACATATGAATATACAAATACGTTCTTCGGTGGCAGAAAATAAAAGATACGAGGTATTGTTATCAAAACGGAAACTTTCTTGCGAACATCACCGGATTCGCTGACCATGCTGCTCCAGAAACAATTGTTCGCCGAGTTCAAGCTTGCACAGTTACGCTCACCTTGGATCCAGCTTTCGGCTGCCTTTTCCATCTCTTATATCCCAATTCGCTCGTGGTTTTCTTGACTTCACACTTCACTTCCGATCAAAGCCTAGCCAATTGAGGCCACTATTACAAGTTTCGTCGCATAATATTATCTGGGGTTTTCACAATATGATTACGAGGCACCGTAGTGGAGAACCCAAGAAATTTCGGCCATCTGGTATTGATTAATGTGCCCTCACATCGCACAGTACACGGGTATCACCTTAGCCTGGTTGTGACCGCCATGGTAGGGATCAAACCTGTGACCTCGGAATCAGCAGCCGAGCACTGTACCTATTGTTCCACCAAAGTAGACAAGTTCGGTCACAAATGGTCGTCGACGTCTTGGACATCAGGCCACGTTAGAGAAATTGGTGAAAAAAAAAGTGATATAATTACAATTGCTCATTGAGGTGTCGCATCCCATAACTTTGACGTGATTAAGAGGGACACCTTAGTGGAAGGATCCCGAAATTTTAACCACTTGGATTTATTTAACGGCAGCTAAATCTGACAATATATAGGCTTCAAGAATTTTCGGTTTTACTGAAAACGTGGTCACCGCGGCTGGAATCCAATCCCGCGAGCATCGCGGCAGCAATAGACCAGCACAACAACAAGACGACCGGGACAGGTGGAAGAGTAATATCGCAGGACGCTCTTTCAGCATGTGGGCCCTCCTGTTACACAGGGCGTTATATTTTTAGAGGTTTTCATATGTGAATGTTTTTGAACATTTTGTTTAACTGGCTAAGTGACAAAAAGCAGCTGATGATGTCGATTTCTCTTACTGATCCTGCCGAATAAAACAAGACAATAGGAAAGCCATAATTTCTCACGTGAAAGAAGCTTGTGTCAAAGACTTTCTTCTGCAAGAGCATGATGGATGCAAAGACGTAGCAGAACGCGGGCACCCGCAGTGAGGCCACTGCGAGGAATGCGGCATGCTGTGCCAAGAAAGCGAGTGCCACTTCCCAACCCAGTTGGACGGCCACAAACAGTGATGCGTACAACGCGTAGAACACGGGCATTGCCTGCGAGAAAAAATGCAAAAAACCTAAAATTGCGCTATTCCGGTGCACTTGTAAAGGTTAAATTCATGTATGCCAAGTTATTCTTTTGTAACTGCTCTTTGAGCCCGTAGCCGGGCACCTACAATTAATACATGCCCCCGGCAGTGGTATTGATGTTTGCAACATTGACTCAGTTGACTTTCTTGCAAGGTTTTTTTGCTACCAGGAACTTCAGTTTACACAATCACTTTTGTTACCAAACATGTTCTGAACGAATACTGCAGTTATTATACGTTGTAGTGTTTCTGGTGAATGTTTTAGTGAATGTTCTATTCTAGTGAGTAAGCAGTCGCCAACGACAGATTCCTGAGCAAGGAGATACTGTGAGGCGTGTCATTCTCATGGCCCGCCTCAAAGTAACCCCTTGCTCAGGAATCAGGACACACAGTCAACGCATGGCTACCGGAGAGTCTTCTCTATCTATCTATCTATCTATCTATCTATCTATCTATCTATCTATCTATCTATCTATCTATCTATCTATCTATCTATCTATCTATCTATCTATCTATCTATCTATCTATCTATCTATCTATCTATATATCATCTATCTATCTATCTATCTATCTATCTATATATCTATCTATCTATCTATCTATCCATCTATCTATCATATATCTATCTATCTGCGCTTCTCCAGTTAAATGTGCGCTTTGACGTAAATCGCTACGCTAGATACTGCACGTCTGGCTCACCGATGGTGTGATACGGGCAGTGGTCCGGCCCAGCAAAGGGTGCAGCAGGAACCATATCCAATTCTTCGTGACGAAATGCCTCGTCGACTTCCATTCCCCATGCGTATCATCCTGTGAAATTAGGAGCGCGGGTATATTATTTTGCGGCATTTGATGTATTTCCGAATATGAACCGCCTACCTCTGTTCGCAAAAGAATAAACAACTGACACATTAAATTAACGCAGTATTCGTGAATGACTGACGGACTGCGTATAATATTCTGCATTTGTAATAATTTTGAAATTATTTAGCCAATATTAGCCATCACACAGGCAAAAGCATGTTGGACTTCGCCATGCTACCTCTCATACGGCAAACACTAAGCAATATTAGCGAGTGCAAAAACGAGCAAGTAGCACATTCCCGTTAAGGAGAAGAGATCCGGATGTTATGTTCTGTATGGCGCCCGTAAAGGTTGACTAAATGGCCACGAGAGGCTGCACTCTTCGCTCAAGTAGTCTCTAGTTCCATTCGCGTCAGTTTTCAAGTGTTATTTGCAAGTGACGCGTGTATACCACTGAAATTTTCGACTATTGTCAAAACATACTATAGCAGCAACTCGCTTCCTAGCTTGTTTCGTTGCACAAAGTTAATAACGCATCTTCACTGCGACCACTGAAAGCATGACTAATGGGCAACCCCAGCAGTCGCGAATGTTATTTCTATAGGTTCTACGTAGATCCTTTGGTCGATAACCTTGATCCGTAAAATTTTACACCTCATTGTTACAGCTCGATTGCACAAAGCTATAGGAGTGGTGCTGCTTGTTGCAGTGGTGATGACACCAACTGCAGCATTTTATTTAATGAGCATGCTGTGCAGGTTAGTAACACGAAAGCTTCAGAGACATCATGAAGTGCGAAAATTGACCGCCGGCAACAACACCAGAGATGTAAAATATTATCACATGATGATGTCACCTTGACGTGACAAACCGCTTAATTGGGCGTCGTCACTACACTATGGCAATACATAGCGTGTCATCGTATGAAGACGTCATCAGATAAAACTAGCTCTTTGGGGGGTTTCTCAATTGCGGAGGCAGTGCTAGACTGGCTGAGATGCAGGAAGCTTGCAATTCCTCACATCTTATAGGATGCGCCAAACCATGTTATCGGCGCAAAGCCTTCGGAAATGGGAAGGATTAACACAATGATTTGGAAGCAACAGAAGATGGTTTACATCTTTGATTAAGCTTAGGCGAGTGGCTAAGGAACACTTTAAGTATTTATTTTTTTGTACAGCGCGGAAACTCACCATTTTGCGCTGAAGGCCGTACGGACTGCTTTTGAAGGCATGTCGCATTTCTTGTTGTAGAAAGGCATCTGAGATAGAAAACGCATAAATTGGAAGGATATCGTGAAGGAGTCAAAATGAAAAAAGGAAACGAACGGCTGTAGAATTTAAACGTCGTTGGTGCTTTTGAGCCGACAGGTTCGAGTGTAGTAATATGGCACATGATTATCACAACAAATGTAGTACAGCTAGAAATTTGCAGCGTTAATGCGACTGGCATGCGTAAGATAAGTACATTTCTAAACACAGTTGAACATTTCTGTTCGCAGCGAGTGTGGTTTTTCAGCAGTATAAAAATGCATGACGAAATATACTGCGTTATGAGAGAACATTTTCGTACAGCCCCCGTGGTGGTCTAGCGGTTATGATGCTGCTGACCAAAAGGTCCTGAGGTTATATGCCTAACTTGCGGAGCATTTTTCCATGGAGGTGATATGCTAGAAGCCCACGTGCTTTGATCTCAGTGCACGTTGAAGAACACCATCTGGTCAAAGTTTCCGGAACGTACTGGCTACTGCTACATTGTCCCTCAAAACCGTATGCGAATTATAAGGCATAAAACTTGAATGCTCATCATTTCAACGCTGATTTACAATGAAATTATACGTAAGTATACTTCAATATAGGCATCATTACGAGGCTGCATTGAGCAAATAGGTCGGGCATGCTAGCTATCCCAAAGCGGATATTACATCCAAAGCGGATACTACATCGAAACTACTTAATGGAGTCTCATGCCTCTGCAAATGCTTAAATTGTTCATAAATTTCTATGTCAATTATACGAGTGTATACAGCGCAATTCGGTGTATCCGCATGCATTTTGTGTCTGTTTTTGAGTTGTTCCATTGATATCGTTTAGTTGCGAATTTTTACGAGAGTGACCTCTAATTCTTAAAATGTGTGAAGTAAACTTCTTATGCTATTTATGTTTGAATTTTGTGTGTAGAATTGCAGGTTGCTTGAAACCAATGTATTGAATATATATATATATTGTTTGTCAGTGCTGATGTCTAAGCTTTGCACTGTCACGGACTGCGGAGGGACAAGGGCCTTTGTCAGGCTGTTCGCCTTTAGCCCTTTGCCCCTGCAGTGAGCTCTGTATCCGTCTTACTGTAAATAAAAGTACTACTACTACTACTATTAAGCTATTTATCAATATATCATTAACATTTCACAAACAGAAGTCATCATTATCTTAAAGACCAACTCACACCTTGACTGAGCAGTTTAATGAGAAGCGTTGATACATGCATATAAAGAACCCAAGTTCATGAAATGACCGTAGAAGCTTTTCAGGAATCTGAACCCCCTTGTTAGAATACAAACGGTCAAGGTGAGTTCCACGCACGATGCGAGTGCGAAATGCACTCGAAGCAATTTGGTTTTCTTTCTGAGCCCTCGTACTTTGCATGCAGTAGGTTGGCGTCATTATTGACGACATTTATGCAGCAGAGGGATGACACAGGAATCATGCTTGAGTATGCGAAAGGAATATCGTGATCTACAGCTGCAGTTCGTGTGTCCCCGCCGCGGTGGCCTAGTGGCTAAGGTACTCGGCTGCTGACCCGCAGGTTGCAGGATCGTATCCCAGTTGCGGCGGCTGCATTTCCGATGGAGGCGGAAATGGTGTAGGCCCGTGTGCTCAAATTTGAGTACACGTTAAAGAACCCCAGGTGGTCGAAATTTCCGCAGTCCTCCACTACGGCGTCTCTAATAGTCATATGGTAGTTTTGGGACGTTAAACCCCACATATCAATCAATCAATTAGCAGTTCATGTGTGCTCAGTCTATAAATTATTGGACAAAGAATCGTGGGTTTCAACGAACTTTCAGGGCATGTGCTCTATTTAGAAGTGTATCATAATCACCAAACTTATTTTTTGAAGTTTTACACGCTTTTAACTCTGTATGAATAATGACTGTGTGCAGCGCTGGTGCACAAACCCTCTATAGCAGATCAGCACACGACATAAGCATGAGAAACCACTTGTCCATTATACATCTTGCACAATCTTATCTTTCGTCGTTTTGAACTTGATAAAAAGCGTAGGCTTCACTTAGGGTCATCTCTGTCTGCATCCAGAGAAATCTTTCACGGAATGTCCCATCCAACTTATTTTTCTTAATACTGAGAAATTAAAGGCTTGCGGACAAACAACTGATTTATTAAAAACACATCGATTCCCAAATAACTCGAGGTGCATGCATGAGTCACAGTAATAAGCACCGCGTCAATGTCTGTTCAACCTGTTCTGGCATGTCGTCGGCGAAAAACATTGCAGCTAAAGGCTACAGAGTAACTGCTGAGGGTTATGAAAAAAGAAAGAAAGAACGGACCTGGACAAGCGGCTATGATAGGGATGTCGCATTTACATGCCAGATTCATGGAATCTCATTGTCTATAGGTGCTTGTCTGTGTGTGTGATGTGTCATGTACTGTCTTCCTGTCTGTTTCCTTTTTTCAATCTCTCCGATCCAGTTCCTACGTGCAGAATAGCAAACTGGTTACTGAACTGTACTGGTCGACTTTCCTGTCTTTTTTCTCAACCATTTATTCCTATTATGCTGCTTATCAATGCTAAATTGTGCATACGGCCTAAGTTACGTGCGCTGCCATGCTCTCTTCAATAAATCAGTTTTTAGTTGAGCCCAGTCTTGTAATTTATTGTCCTCATTTCGTTGTGCCTCGAATGTTTTAATTACGCATGCTTCGAATAGTGTCCACAGAATAAGTGTTTACTGATTTAGAGTACGTGGAACTCTACTATACTACGAGAGAGCAGGGAGCAGACCCAGTCAGAGGAAAAAAAACTAGTTAGGTCAGTGTGTTAAAACAAGTGTTTAACAATTTGGAGTACTTTCTACTCAACTATGAGAAAACATTGAGCCATCTTTAAACACTAAGAGACAGATGTTATACCACTGAGTGTGTTTAGAAAAAGTTGTTATGATTAGTGCATTCCGTCCCGTGCGCTTCACCTTTTATAATGCCGAATCCACAAAAAGTACGCTATGAACGAGCTCATGGTACAAAGCGTTGGAAGCCCGTGTTTGGAAAAAATGGTTAATGATTTAAAGTACTTGGTACTCTACCATGGGAGAATGCAAAGCCATCCCGGGGTGGACGGCAGCGATATCGGTTGAATCATCAACAATGACATCATAGCAAGTAGGCCATGGTGCAGTCATTTCTACGAATCGAAGCACCTTTTTATATATTTAAAATATGTGATTTGTTCTTCTATATACACGTTCCTGTTGCTAGTCTTTCATTCAGCTAACTCGAACTTTTTGCACACTTGAGCAAAGATATTGGCATGACAGCTCTGAAGGAGGTTGCATTAGGTACATAATATTAGCTTTTGATTATTTATATGAGTAGTAATAATATCGTTATCAACAAAAAGACGTTTGCATTTAACAACGGAAATCTTCCGGCCCAGCTTAAGGGGAGGATGAGGGTGGGGGCTCCCATTGACTTTAGGTTGCAACCAACTATGGCTGTTAATTACACACTCATGGTCATAATCATCACCACCATACTTATAATCCATCACGGGGCGATGACGTCTCCGAGGGCTCTTACTTCGCCGTTTGATATCGAGATTCGAATCCCGGCTTCGGCGGAGGCATTACGATGGAGGCAATATGAAAAGACCTTTCATGCGCTTGATGTTAACCAACCCTACATGATCGAAATTAACCTCCGAGTATCTCACTACGGCCCACCTCTTGATCATATAATGATTCGTGCTCATAAGCTCCACCTATTGTTCCAACGATCCCAAGTTATCCTTGTCCTGCGCGAACTCATTGCCTTTGATGTTTTCGAACCTACTGATTTCGTAATCTCCCCCTACTTTCTGCTTTTTTCAGCTGCGATCCGCATCTCTTGTTGTACACTACGTTTCTTCAATTGCTCTAACTGACCAGAGGTTACATGTCCAAAGTTATTGTTTGTTACATTGGTCTGATTGAGCTAACTGACTTGAGGCTGTCTGTCCTAGGCATAACAACCCACATAGGCCTGTGTCCATCATCATATGTTGATACATACCCCTTTCCTTTCCTCTAACAGTTTCCACTCTCTCGTTATTTTTTTTTTCACAAATGAGCACTTCACTCTCGTATGCACCTCTGGACCCCATTAAAGAGACCGACTACTGATTTTTTTTCGGTGCCCCGCCGCGGTGGTATAGTGGCTCAGGTACTCGGCTACTGACCCGCAGGTCGCGGTGGCGAAAATGCTGTAGGCCCATGTGCTCACATTCAGGTGCACTTTTAAGAACCCGAGGTGGTCCTAATTTCCGGAGTTCTCCACTACGGCGTCTCTCATAATCATGTGGTGGTTTTGGAAGGTTAAACTACACATATCAATCAATCAGTTTTTTTTCTGGCGTCACAGATAACTTACTCTTGTTAGCGATCGTAGCTGCTGCAACTAATCCCGAAAGCACGTATAGTCTTTCGGTGAATTTTGAGTTTCTTGGCTGCAAGACCATTCTTTGTGTTAACAGAAGATGGCCCAACTGAGCGACGCTATACTTCCAGGGGTGTCCCTCAAGGCGGAGTTTATAGGCCGACGCTAATCAATCTTGCACTAATTGGCTAAAGTACCATTAAAATCTCAATATACGCAGATGACATCTGTGTCTGGACTTCGGCAGTCACACGTCCTCAGATACGTTTCCGGATTCAAAGAGCAGCAACTATGATGGCCAACAACTTGTTAAAACAAAGTCTCAGCATATCACCAGAAAAATGCACGCTGGTGGCCTTCACTCACAAAGCATTGACACATTACTGTCATCTCAATCTGCGGGCAAGTCATTTCTTACGCCAGAACCCGCCGGTTTCTGGGCATCATTAATGAAAGTGTTGTGGAGCTTATGCACTAACGCGTATGCGCCTTCCAAAGAGAAGAAAAAACCCCGTGCTCTGATTGCACGAGAACCTGGGCCGCCTTTGCCAGACTTGTCGTACGGCCATTTTTCGTTGCAACATCGTTGCGACTTCTCCGGTTCAAT